ATCCGCCTCTGGTATACTCGTTCTCATTTAAACAAAGATATCTATTAGCCTCTGTCTCCTTAAAGGCAGGCCAAAACTCAATAGTTAGAATGGAAGACGATTTGGAGCATATCCAACAAAGAAAATGTTATTTTTTCTGACGTTCCCTAATTTATATTATATCCGGAAAGTAATGACAGTAGTACGGAAATCTGTTCTTATCGGAGTAATCCGTTCTTCAAAACAAGGGAAACGCTCTCGGCGGTCTCGCCTGCGTTACGCAATTCGATATGATGAAAAATTGAGGTTGGAACATTATTTATAGGCAGGGTGGCCCATTAGCAGACCTAAAAAATGAAATCCTCTGAATATAATCAGTATTTTGAAGTGAATATTGACCAAGAATCATCAGAAGAATATTTACTATTAATTGTACCAGGATCGATAACTTGAATGAAATATGAACAAATTATTTTTTTAATAATTATTTCTTAATTCTCATATTAAGTTGTGAAAACATAATTCAAGTCTACTGACCAAAAATGACCTTTGACCTTGTGACCTGGAATTTGTGATACTTGATAACCCTTCGGTACAAGTTTCATGGACTAAGAACTTATACTTTAAAAATTAAATCAAAAATTCAAAAACTTAACCTTAGGTTAAGTTTTCGATGATCATACCACAACATAGTCCAAGTCTGTTGACCTGAAATTACCTTTGACCTTGACTTTGTGACCTGAAATTCTACTCACATGATTGGGGACACTTGATGACCGTATAGTTCAAGTTTCATTGACTAGGAACTTTCACTTTCAAAATTATATTAAAAATTGTTGACGCCGCCGCCGCCGCCGCCGCCGCCGTCGTCACCGGAAAAGCGGCGCCTATGTCTCGTTTTTTGCTACGCAGGCGAGACAAAAACGAGTTAAAATCAATAAAATCCGAAATCATCCCTTCTCTCTTTCTTAGCACAAACACCGCTCATCATTAAATGAATAATTTTAAGGATTTCATATCGATATTTAGTCAGTAAAGCCTACGAGATGGACACGGAATTATAATTAGTTTGTATACTTCTGCATGACACTTAGTGTTATGTTCCCACATTTTATACAGTTGATTTTTAGTATATGAAACAGTAAACAGTAAAAATGCTTTCTTGGACAGGCAAAGAAAATCGGTAACATTTACAGAAATACACAGATAATGTTGACTCTTTCGGGTTTCTAATGCAAAAAAGAAGATTGCTTTTCTAATATTTCATGATGGATTTTATTTTTTTATTTATTTATTTTTTTTTTTTTGGGGGGGGGGGGGGGGTTGGCTACGCAAATATATATACAGTTATAATACAGATATTTTTATGCAAAATAGATAATATCCACTGATTTAAATCAACTTGTAATAACACAAGGATGTTCCCATCTTAAGTTCAACTGCTACACGGATGCGTGGCGTACATGTATGTATGCGATAAGGAAATGTAGAATAACAAATTATGAAATTAGTCACTTCCATCTATAAGATGATCGGAAAGCCTTTCAAGAAATGTTCAAGGGCAATAGCCTCTTGTATCGCCTGTAGAATCGTGTTCACATTTTCCGCAAGAAGACGCACAATGCTATCGACAATGCCTTGCTTGGTTTCTTAAAAATCGAATGTGTTTTCATAACCATCACTTCAAAAGTAAGTTAAACCAGCTGAACCTGCTATGTGTAATAAGAAATGTAACGTTCTATTTTTTTCTCCTCAAGTACATGTATTACCAAGTATTTTCAAATGTTAATTTAAACTATGCATGGAGAAGCTGCTAGCGTTTGAAATAAAAAATAAAAAATGAAAAAAGGGGAAAACCAATTTCCTTTAATTTGTACGCTTGAAGCGCCATATTTTTAGGAGGGGCGAAAATAGTTTATCATCAATCCAATCTGTTGAGTGCATGTTTTTTTTCTTTAGGCACTATCAACAAGAACAAAAAACCTGTGTTAAAACAAAAATTAGATATTTTTGATGATTACAAATGAAAAACTATTGTGTTTGACATTTTTGTTCATTATATTTGCTTTTAGTTGTCTATATATATAAACATGTTTTATATGCACAACTGCAAATATATGAGAGTGAATGTGCGTTTCTTGAAAGAACAAAAAGTCGACATCATTTAAGTAGCGCTGACATTCTAAACTAGCTTATTTTTTTGCAATCAATACATTCACTGCCACTAACGTACTGGTGGGGGTGCTTGGGGGGCGCCAGCCCCCCCAAATAAAATTGAACCATGACTTATTTTCAATTCCATATATAAGTGATGTATAAATGTTCGTGATATCACATGATTTTCAACAAAATGCGCGTTTCTCCATTTCTGTTGCAAACTGACACATTCCCAAATGGCCAGGAAGAGCATATGTTTTTTATAGTCACTAGGGGCCGTGGCCACTTACAGTAACACTAGTAAAAAAAAACTCCTTTACAGAAGCAACTGTGACAAGCACTGCCGGGCGTTCCATACTTACATTATGCAACACTGCACAAGTACCGTTGAGGGGCCCAGCGGGGAAATTGAATTCAGACAAGATTAAGAGTAGTGCACGGTACAACGAATCGTCTTCTTTCTCTAATAATTTAATGAAACGGCAAAGCTTCCGCGCTTCGGCGGGGGTGGGGGGGGGGGGGGGCAACTGAAATCAGACTAGGATTAAAAGTCGAGAACGGTACAACGAATCGTCTTCCTTCTTTATAATTTAATGAAGTGTCAAAGCTTCCGCGCTTTGCGCGAGAGGGGGGGAAACTGAATTCAAACAAGAACACGATACAACGAATCGTCTTCTTTCTCTGATTATTTAATGAAACGTTAAAGTTTCCGCGCTTCGCGCGGGATGGGCGAATATGAATTCAGACAAGGATTAAGAGTAAAAGTTTAATGAAACGGCAGAGTTTCCGCGCTTCGCGCGAGATGGGCAAAAATGAATTCAGACAAGAATTAAGAGTCGAAACCGGTACAATGAATCGTCTTCTTTCTCTGATAATTTAATGAAGTGTCAAAGCTTCCGCGCTTCGCGCGGGAGGGGGGGGGGGCGGGGGAACTGAATTCAGACAAGCCTAAACACGATACAACGAATCGTCTTCTTTCTGTAATAATTTAATGAAACGTGAAAGCTTCCGCGCTTCGCGCGGGATGGGCGAAAAAAATTCAGACAAGGATTAAGAGTAATGATTAATTGAAACGCAAAAGCTTCCGCGCTTCGCGCGAGATGGGCGAAAATGAATTCAGACAAGGATTAAGAGTAATAATTTAATGATACCTGAAAGCTTCCGCGCTTCGCGCGGGATGGGCGAAAATGAATTCAGACAAGGATTAAGAGTAATGATTTATTGAAACGCAAAAGCTTCCGCGCTTCGCGCGGGATGGGCGAAAATGAATTCAGAGTCAGACAAGGATTAAAGGTAATAATTTATTGAAACGTCAAAACTGCCGCGCTTCGGGTTTATAGGGTTAAATTTGTTGACATTTGGACATGGCATTAATATATTTGTCGGTAATTGGTTGCTCGGTTTGTCGGTAATCGGTGGCCTCTACACACTCCCCACTCCCCCACTGACAAAGATCTAGCGACGGCCCTGATAACGACACAGTTTATACACTCGAGAAAAATTTTGCAAGTACTTCTGATGAAGTACCGGACCACCGTCTTTGTGCATTGTGCGGCATCAAAGCATAATTTTACAACGTCTCAAGACGTGGCAGATCACTTTTCTCTAACTTCTAACTAATCAGAAGGCCTCGTTTTTTTCCAGGAAGTGCCGGTGGACATTAATGCGCCAATTGTGGTTCTCAAATTGCAAAAGATCCCTACTCTTGGAAGGGGTAGGAGAAAGCAATTTTACGTCATATTACTCCAGGAAGTGCCTGAAAATGCGTCTAATTTGGTTCTAAAATTGCAAATGCTTCTTACTCTGCTTCGGGGGCTCCGCCCCTTGACCCCCGCCGGGGCTTTGCCCCTAGACCCCACTTTGCGAAACCTTCAGCGGGGCCTGCATGTAAGAGTGGGGTGCTGCGGATTTTTTTTGTCAGCCCCCCCAAACGTTTTTGCTCATTACGCCACTGTTCACTGCCATATACTGTCATTAAATTCCACTTCCATGTTGCGTGTATTGCCTGGAGAGGAGAGGTTCTGTCTAGAATCTGATAAAAATCAATTATTTACAAATCCCTTTGGGGAAAGTTTGATAGGATTGGAAAGAATGGGACCCCAAATTCCTTCATCAATTTCCACTCTCCATGCAAGATCTATTAAACATTGACACGACCTCTAGGCTAAGATTAGCTAACAAAATATATTCATTGAAATCATCCGCGTAAGAAAAACAATAAGAATGTGGTAACCATGGGGAAATTTAATTATCTCTGGATAAATAAGTCTCCCTTTTGGCAGATATGCTCCGTTGGCCTTTACCTCCCCTAATCCCGGTATCTTTCCTTTCACTATCATCGAATTTATAATATACATAATACATATATATATATATATATATATATATATATGTTCAACAATATAATAATATAGGCAATTTGGTACAAAATTTAAGATTTTAATGGAAATGCCCGAAGGTTCTTTCGTTGTTGCTGCATGCAGCGTGTTACTTCCAAATCCTGAAATAATCATACAAAATAGATCAATGACGCTTTCGTTAATCTTTATAGTGTGGGGGTAGCCCCCTCCTCCCCTTTGTAAAACATTATCCGTTTACAATCTCGGCTGATTCATATAGTTTGTATGATATCAGTATCTATATATTTTTGATGTGTTTAGAGAGAGAGAGAGAGAGAGAGAGAGAGAGAGAGCGAGAGGGAGAGAGATCTTTGAAAAAATTCAAAAGGGGAGGAGAGCGACTGGAAACTTCGATAGAGCTACGCACTATAATTCAATTTTTTCTTTTCCTACAATATACATATCCGTATACGACAGTTTCTAGTGCATGATTTTGAATGATTTGAATGATTTCAATGATTTCAGATGCCAGAGGGCCTTTCAAGCTACCAACAAAAGATCTTCTGCTCTTCAAACTTCCGCGACTTCACGGATGACATGGGTCCTGTCTCGCCCAGTGCGGGGACGAGTTCTGTAAGTATGATAATTTAGGAAGTGACGGTTCATAGAGAGTAATGATGATCTGTTTGTAAAATTGGTAATCACGTTTTCGCCGAGCTGCCATTTCAAGGCGTTCCTTATTTTATTCCACTCTGCTTATTATTCTTTTCATATTCCATTATTATCGTAGAAGATCCACCTTAAGGCGATCTATTTCCGGGTTTTAGCTAACGTCCTTGGCCTGAACGGTTATCTATTTTTTTTCCTTTTGATATTCCCATGACTAGTCTCTCTCTCTCCCTCCCTCCCTCTTTCTTTTACAAGGCACATTACATGTTAAAGATAAAGTTGAGTTCAGGTAAAAATGAAAAACAATCTGCGAGCTTTTTCCTCCTTCTTATTCATGAACGCTTTGATATCATAAAGGCCACAACGCCTCGCAAAGGGGTTGCTTTTTCAGTGCTATCATGATTTCTTTCAAAAAGATAGAGTGGTAGATTCAAAATTTGGACCAACTTTTCACACCATGAGTGTATAGTACCATATACATTAAAGTCTCAATAACTTCCACATTGTTTCTTTCATAATCTAATAGCATGACCACCTCTTTCAATCCAATGTAAAAGGGGTATATGATTTCGAAAATTATATAAAATTCAGAAGGTCATACATACAGGACAGCGTTTTCACCATTCCGCAACATAATCTCTATAATTTCTCATCATTCCATTTTCTATAAGCAGATTTAAACAACATACCGCGTATAAAGAGACTATATCCTGTCTAGTAATCGGTAACTTTCTATTATTCATAAAACCATTCCAGCGAAAACTTAACCAATACAGGACAGAATCAACTCTAATCCTTCTGGATATATTTCTCGATCTCGGATATAACAAATAATGATTTAAACTCTAGGCTAGGATAAGGAGACCAAAATTCATTAAAAGAACGGACAGAAGAAATCACATGCATTGAGAAATATGTCATCTGTTACCATGGCGATATATCATTTCCTGTGCCTAAATATCTGTTTAAAGTTAAAGTGCTTATACAGATTTTGTTTGTTAGACCTTGGGATATAAAGATTTTGATTGTCAGACTATGGGATTTGATTAGGCAACTGATGTCCTGCTTCCATCTTTTTCTCCCCCCCCCCCTCAAGCACAACACAAACATGCGCACCCCTACATACCCACACGCACGCACTCACACACACACACGTCATACCAAAGAATACAATGTCAGTCGAGTTTGGTCAAATCACCTGCAATATGCTATTCAAGAATTTAAGATCAACTCCGTACGGACAATTGAGCCACCTTTTCGCTGTCATTTTCAAACCAAAAAAAAACCCCATTGAGATGTAGTCTGCTGAGAGACAGAAGACCGTAACTCAACACTCCCATCTATGTTACCATGGTTACAGAATAATGAGTAATGCCGGAGTTAACAAGCGATATCTCTTCGGAAAAGACTTTATGAAGAGAGATGGCAAGAGCTATCAGATTGCACCACTAATATCTCTACAAATTAATGTTATCGTTATTTGTCCTATTCTGGCAGAATGTAATGATTATTTTACAATAACAAGGTTTTATGCCTACATTAGTTTGATGGGTCTTTAAGAATAGTTTGAATGAATGACTAATTTGTATCTGCAAGAATATATTGGCTCAAAACCGATCTCTTTGTATCAATAACGATCAACATTTAAATATGAAAGGATTCTCATGAGGAGCATTTGGGTGTATTTTCTTCTCTCCCCTAAACATTTTGTCCCCTTTTTTTCTCAATATCACTTCTTTTTATTTCCCACTTTCTTACATGATTCTCTTTTCCTCCTCTCGCCTTTGTCCTTCTCTCTGTTTTTTTTTCCACCTCCATCTCCTTGCTTCTCTCCCACAGTTCTCTCTCATTGTCTCTTTTCTCCTTTCTTTCCTTCAGCTCTCTCCTCATGAATCTCCTCTCTCTTCCCTCTGATTTTTCTCCTTCTCCCTTCTCTCGCCTCCATTCCCTCCGTCTCTCTCTCTCTGTCTCCTCCCTCGTTGTTAGTGTGTCCATATCTCCTTCTCTGTATGTTCATTATTTATAAAATACCCCTTTGTAATCCACGTTATTCACCGTTTTTACATGTATTTATCATTTCTTCCCCCTCTCTCCTTCAATCTCTCTCTCTGTCTGTCTCTTTATCTTTATCTCTCTCTCTCTCTCTCCCTCTCTCTCTCTCTCCTCTCTCTCTCTCTCTCTCTCTCTCTCTCTCTATCGTGCTTTCTTTATTTATCTCTAACTATGTGTCTCTGTCTCTTTGTCTCTCTCTCTCTCTCTGTTTCGTTTTATCCCCCTCTCTCTCTCTCTCTCTCTCTCTGTCTCTCTCCGTCTCTTTCTCTCACTCTCTCTCTCTATCTGTCTCGCTCGCTCTCTGTTTCTCTCTCTCTCTCTCGCTCTCTCTCTCTCTCTCACTCTCTCTCTTTCACATCTTTCCTTGACCTTTCAGGAATCACCAAAATCTAGACGGGCTTCACGCCTTGGGACGAAATCAAGATCTTCAAGAAATTAATATATACAACAAATCTTATCATTTCAGAATGAAATTGTAAAATGCATAATTCAATCGTTTGCATTCATTTATATGATTTTTTTAGAGCTATTTGTAACAATAAAAATGATAATAAGGGTTCTTGTTTAGCGCTCATATCCGTCAGACTTGACACTCCTGGCGCTCTACATAAAACATTTTCATTTTGATTGAACTATTATGTCAAGTTCTTGTTGATATTTTAATATTTATATAGAGTTTATTGATGTTACAAAAAAGCCCTCATGAAATTGCAACAATTATTCTCCAATGAAGGTTTACAGTGTGAGGTAATAGTGTAAAGTGTATATATAATTGTAAGATTGTCATAGATGGAGACCTTGGCAAATTTGTCAATACGATATCTAAAAAATAAACAATGATAAATGCACCTAACCTAGTGTTTCACTTATTCTTTAGTCTACTTTTCCTATCTCATTTTAGGTCTAAATATATTCAACTGATATTTCAGAGCATGGATATTATGTGTCGGGTAGTTTATCCATGTTCCGAGTAAGAAAATACTGTTGATGTACATTTTTTTAAAACTTAGCATATTTAGTTGGCATATTTATGGAATTTTCTTCTTCAAATTAGTGCATGTATGCACAAATAGTACTGAATATTTAGTTCTAGCGTGTAAATCTTTACTGTTCTATCAAATGAGATGGAGGGGAAAAAAAGTGTTTCATTCCTTATTTGGGTTGCATGTTGCTGTACCAATTCAACGCTTTAATTAATTCGTTTATCCCAGATCATGAAGTTACTCTACAGCTGACAAGATACTTGCGCTGAACAAAGTAGATCGTAATGTTCCCGAACATAAAATTAGTTACGCCCGTCTACTTTCTATTTACGGAGGACAAGCCACAAATGAACTTTAAGAAAAACACGACTATCTCATATCCATCTTCTCGCACACACATTCAAACACACAGGTTAAGTAAATACTTATCCACTCTTAAAGAGATAGTTGAGTTCTGTTTTCAGACCGAAATTGCCTTCAAAGTGCATGGTTATTGCTCTTATTCTTATCTATGACATTTCTAGTGCCCTTTGAGGACGTAAAAATGCTATGAAGGTAATTTTAGACCCCAAAATATGTGAAATTTAGCCAATACGATCATACCAATTTAGCTCCACTTTCAAAAAAATACATTGACCGTTAATTAATCAATTAATTAATAATAACAATACATGGGCCGGCTGGTTGGGCTTAATATAACAAACACGAAAAAGCCACACACAAAAAAAAACATCGGCATTGGCTGAAATACAACGTAAAAGGCTGTATTTCGTTTTTTCAACGGCTTTTTCAAATTATCGAATATTTGGGGTGGTACACAAATATTAGAAATCATTATATTTATGGATATTTTAGCCGTCTCTGAACCGATTTTGATCAAACAAAGATGATTTTGTCATTTAAATTGTATGTTCTTTCAAATTTGACACTCAGTTTTTCATTATCTCACAAACAAATTCCGACAAAATTTGTGTAGCGCCCTCTGCAACAGAACTTAACTATACCTTTAACTTAGCCGAATTGTTTGTAAACAATTTTAATCACTTTATCTGACGCACGCGTGAGAGAGATATATATACATGTTTTCGCACACACAGAGAATCGTGCGTGACGTACATGTATACTTGTCGCTCGTAACTCTGACCAAGGGGTTCTACGAGAGCCCTCCTAGCTCGTTGTTCTAACAAATGGCTTGTAAACGATTTAAATCACCTATTTTTTGCAGGTGAAAAAACCTAATGGTCAGCATAGTGTGACGATTCCAGCAGTCCGGAGGTGGTGACTGGGGGGGGGGGGGGGGTGTAGACGAGTAACCCTTTTATATTTTTGTGATGATATTTGTTCGTGATGATGTTTGAGGATTGCTTTACCCGACTGCTAAGAGAGCATGTATATGCTTGAAGTAAGTAAGCAACCAGGGCCTCGTCTTACAAAGAGTTGATATCAATCGCAACTCATTTACGATTTATATCAATCGCAACTATGTACAAAAGAGATAGGAGACTGCAAACTTGCAATTGATTGGAAGACTTGCGATTGATTTGGATCAATCGATACTCTTTGTCAGACGGGGCCCAGAAACCAACGGCTTTAGGTCCTCTCCGAAGGACTTGGTAATGAGGAATCTAGCCTAACCGAAAGGCACGATGAGCGCCTAACCAAAAGGCACGATGAACGACGCAGTTTTGAACCCGGGACCTCCTGGTTACGAGACCACTGCTCTAACTCTAAGCCATCGCATAACATACAAAGAAGATCATTTTCTGCTCGCACGCATTCAATTGAAAAGCCCACTGTAATGAGCGGCGCGTATCAACTCTGGCACTCTGGAAAAAAATAATGGATGAGCATCTGAAATACACGGAAATACCTCCCCACCCTTGTGTTACGACCTATCGTCATGTATTATGACGCATACGACTTTAATGCCAAGACCTAAACATCCTAAGGGCCCCGTGGGTCCCATCTATATCTTCGGGTTAAAAATTTATCACTCTGCCAATTAGATCGTTATTGTTGGGGACGCATTTGGGGCTAAAACGTTGATCCATACGAGAATCCATAAATCTGTATTATCAGCATATTAATCGCTTCCATAACCTGACATGAACGCTTGATTCATTTTATCTCCGAAATCAATCAATTTACAAAAGGTTGTTGAAGTCATTGCTTTTCTCTCAAAGCAGCTCTTCAATCTTGTAATTGTTTCGGATATTGATTGCAAAAAACAAGGCTAATGGCCTCTTTTTTTAACTCCGTATTGGTTACAAATCTATATGGGGAGTCAAAAACTAATATCTTGAGAATGTGATATGTTAGATACATTTACAATGTCTTGCACCAAATGGCCTAAAGAGTTGCCCGTGGGAGTGCAATTTAGGCTGACCGATCGCTGTTCAAAATCGGAATCATTGTTCATATTATCCAAATAGTTATATTCTATTATAATTCCTACTTCCTCGTCGAGAAATGAGGTAAAATTGTTGCCGGAAGCAAAATTATTCGTTTAACTACAACTACATGATATTGCTTTGAATCACTTTTCTTGAAATGACGATTATGAAGGGTATTTTGTAAGTCGTTAATGTTTTTAATTTCTGTTGATTATAGGACGTTGATCACTTTTTTTGTTCTAAAACTGTGTAGGTGGATTTTTTTTTTTTTTACTCACGATAATCTTTTCTACTTTTTCATCGGAAACTTTTCTTCTCCTTTTGCGCATGCTCAAAACCACAAAAAGTTGATGAAAGATTTATTTTTATGCAATTTTGTAATTCTGTTTAAGATTATCTGTGACGATTGGGGTCGATTAGCTGGAGGGGGCAGCTACCCCCCTTTTCCCGCCCCCGTCTAAGGTATGGATCAACGCCCCTCGATGAGAGCAGGTCCGATCATGTTAGAGATGATGTAAAAATAAGCTTCGCTTTCTCAAGAAAACGCTTTTACTCGTAACTGCTCTACCCAAATGGCGGCTATTCAAGGGGAATGTATTAATATCACTAACGCGTGATTTTCAATTATAATCGACTGATTTCGGAAAGCCTTTGGCGTTAACAGGTTACATACTTCACAAAAGATGATTGAAGATCAAATCTCCGTATGCTAAATCATGTAGCAAAATAAATTTCAGATTATAGAAAGAATTGCGAAGAAAGCTAGGCAAGAAAGAAACAAGGTGAAAGGAAAAAAACAGCACAAAAGCAGATGTTTGAAATGTGCAACAGGAGAAGCATGAGATAAATAGGTGCATGTACTGACAGAAGAAAGGTGCCGAAAGTGAGGAAACAAAAGATTATTCTGCAGTATAAGATAGATCGAATGAGTGAATTAATGAATCGGCGGTTGTACTATTCCTGACGGGTACATAATTTCTAAAGAAAAATCTACGGAAAGAAAGAACAAAAAAGATCGCAAAAAACTTACGAAAATCAACCCGGGGCAGACTAAATAGTCTTGTTCATCGTTCATTTAAACGTACGAACAATACAATGATGCATTACCTAAACCGTACACGGTTTCTAGAGGATAAGCAAGAGAGTAGACTTGTGATATTGTCCACCAGTTGATTTTTCGAAAATCTTTGCGATCATATTTGATTTAAGGTCACAGGACTGAAAGAAAAAAAAGTGATCCCATTTTGTTTTTGTCTATGGATGCACACTGTATAGAAAAAACAAAATTCCGACAAGCTAAAAAAAATACAACAAAGCATCTACCTAACAAATATAACTCAAAGAAAAAACGAAAACAACAGCATAAACGCAAGGACTCTCAAATTTGGCCGAAGATGCAGACGGTTCACACCTAGTTCACGCCTTCACCCAAGAAATCAGCAAAATAATTGGTTTGGTGGTATGGGGTGAGATGGGGGCACAAACTATGCTCCAAATATCTGCCTCTTGATGAATGAATGAATAAATGAATGAAAGGATGAATAAATGAATACATACATAAGTAAATGAATACATGCATAAATAAATGAAAGGATTAATGAATGGATTAATTAATTTAAAAAATGAGCTCCGGGCATACAACAGTAAGTAAAATGAATAGAACTAGAGGTAACAAAAGTGAAAGAGAGAAGAGAAAAAGTGGGAAAAGGATTTAGCCTTTCCTATTGCTCCTCAATATGTGGGAGGTGAAGAATTATTGAGATAAATGCAAGGTGATAAACCCGTCGATTTAATTAAAAACAGTTCTGCTACATGTATAACAACAAATATAAAAAACAAAAAGTTCACGCACTCGGTCGCGCAAACACACCCACACCATCCCCCTTACCTTAACCCTCACACGCATATTGGCCCTACATTGACCCCTCTCTCTCGCTCTCTCTCGCTCTCTCTCTCTCTCTCTCTCTCTCTGAAACCTCTCCCACGCTCTTCCCCCTCTCCCCCTCTCTCTCTTTCACCTACCATGTCCTCTTGTCTCTATCCCTCCTTATTTCTCCTTTCCCATTTATTTTATTCTCTCTCCATTTCCCCTGTTTACTTTTTTTCATTTCATTAACACGATCGCGACTATTTTGGAAAAATTACAACTCCAGGGGGGTGTTTCACAAAGATTCTGAGTTGAATTATCTCTAAGATGAACTTAAAAATTATGGAAAGCCGTTAGCATCTTTGAAAATATCTTTGAAAATATTTTGTAAAAGTTATTTTGAAAGGCATAAAATTCAAATCATTCATATTTTCTATCATCGAGGAGATTTCATGTTCTGGATGTGGAATGTATAAAAAAAGTATAAAATACTTGAATATCTGCTTTTGAATATATTTCATTTTAAGGCTCCAATGGCTGTCCATAATTTTTAAGTCCAACTTGGTATGAAGTTCTACTTAGGATCGTGTTTATAAGCCAATTATAGTTGATGCCAAATAATGATGACGATGAGGACATCAACAACGACAATATTATTTCTCCGCCAATAGTTCATTTTTTCCAATGCTGACTCTTTTCTCCCCATCCCATCAATTTCCCATCTCCCTATCTCTCTCTCTCTCTCTCTCTCTCTCTCTCTCTCTCTTTATCTCTCTCTCTCTCTCTCTCTTGCTCCCTATATCCCTTCTCCCCGTGTTAACAACAACACCAAGGACCCAGGTGCACAAACTTAAACCTGTGAATTTGACGGATTATGGCGCCTTCTCGAGAAAGACATCTCCATAAAAACTCTTTATTTATGGTTCTAGGAATCGGCCATAGAATTTACTTCAAATTGCACATTAAAGAAGTACTTTGTGTGATTTTCCTTTTCATAATAATATATGTAACCTGTCCAATTTGAGTAACCTTATGAAAAAACTTAATTAAAGAAGCATTAACGAATTCTCGAGAATTATTTTTCCTTACACTCATCTTGTACATATTTATATCGAGATATAATATACAGGAATTCACAGCTCCGACTGCAAGTACCCAGAATAATAAGGATGCCGAACTACACGATGTAAATTATGTAACCCTCAAGGAACCTAAGCTCAACACGCTTAGCTTTCACGGCGACTGCTTCATAAATAATGAGTTAAATGTTTAATGGATATAAATTATTCAATTATTAATAACGATAATGCATTACATTTACAATGCACTTAATACAATGTTTCTAAGCGCAAGAGAAAGAAGAAAGGAAAAGGAAGGAAAAGGAAGGAAAAGGAAGGTAAAAGGAAGGAAAAGGAAGGAAAAGTGAGAAATACTAAAGAAACATGTTAAAAATATTGAATTACAAGTAAACGGCAAAGAAGAATATGACCTTACACAAAATAAGGACTGCATCAAAATTGATTGAAATTGTAAATAAACCAGATATGGACTTAGAATTATAATAAAAATGAAATATTCAAATACAACTTAAATACAAATTACAAATTATTATATTCAATATAATAATTATGCATCTTAAAATAATTATCAATTATTGTTTTGTATACAATCTTTTAAAAATCAATTTTTCAAAAATCCGTAACTCACAATATTTGCACAATGATTCCACTTCTGTATACATTTCTGATTTTGAAAGACATACATTGACTTATATGATAATTATCTATCGGAGCAAATAACTTCAATTTTATCCTTTTCTAATCTCCTACTCATCTTGCAGTGTTGTGACAATAAAAGCCCTTTCCCAGAGAACATCAAAAATTGATATAAAAAGACGACACCACTTGATTGAAAAGCGGAACAGTGGACTAGGAAGAAAGGAAGGAAGGGGGAAATGGCGTCGGTAGAGAAGGGGTGTGACGATGCGTCACATCCAAATTCGAAATTCTGTGCAAATTTATGACTTGATTGTTTGTCTGTATCTTAGTGTGTATAAAGTACGTGTATGCTTGTAAGTCGATGGCTTTAATGCATCTCGAAGGGGTGTATATAAGGTCTGTCTTCATCAGCCCGAGTTGGCCTTTCATAAAATGAAAAGTTATTCAGATACATAAGTTCAGGCCTTATTGGTTGGTTTTTTGTTTCACCTGATGGCTAAGAGAGCATGTGTATGCGTGTTAGTAGGCAACCAGGGGACCGACGGCTTTAAACCCTCTTCGCAGGACTTGGTAATGAGGATAAATGCCTAGACCAGAGAGTACAAGCGCATTGACTTGGTTTGAAATATGGGACCTCCCGATTACGAGATAGACCACTCCTCTACCACTGAGTCATCGCGAATGTGTAGGTAAAAGTATTACTGTCTTCGTTTGTTTTATTCAAAATCAACCAGCTGGCAGTTATGAATACGGCAAAATCCATCTTAAGCTAAAGAGAGAGAGAGAGAGAGAGAGAGAGAGAGAGAGAGAGAGAGAGAGAGAGAGAGAGAGAGAGCAGAATCTGGTATATAAATGAATGACAGGCAGAGAGAGAGTGTGACTGCATGGGGATAGCAACCGTAGAGACAGAGAGAGGGGGAGCAAAAGTGTGGGGAGGAGTAGAGTGAAATGGCAAGAGAGACTGAGAAAGAGACAGAGAGAGAGAAAGAGAGAGAGAGAGAGAGAGAGAGGGGGGGGTATGTGCGTGTGTGTGTTCGCGGGGAGATAATAGTAGAGGTAGTGGGTGATGTGGGCGCCCTTCCCCGCCTTCATAGACCATCACACTGTCTACTAGCAGATTAAACTATTAATCTTATTTGAAAGCATCGAATATCGCTCCATTTATATTTTGTCATGCACACCCGGGGTAATATTATGTCATTCATCGATTAATTGGATTTTTAAATGATAAAAACGTTTCTGAAATTAGACGTGTTGCTCCTACACTATCTCTCCCTCTCTCATTTTTCTCATTTTATTTCTTGTTATTTTCTCTCTATCTATTTTTTTTTCTCTCTCTCTCTCTCTCTCTCTCTCTCTCTCTAATTATTATGTATATATATATATATATATATATATATATATATGTATATATATATATATATATATGTATGTATCTTTCATATATAAATGTCTCTTTCTCTTGATCTATCTTCTATGAATCTCTCTTTCTCTCTCTCTCTCTTATCACATGCTTCTTTTATTTCTCCTCTGTTTTGTTGTCTGTCTCCTTCTTTTATTCGTCTGCTCTCTCGCTCTCTTCCAATTGTGTTTTCTTACACTCTCTATTACATGCTGTCTTTTCATTATCTTCTCCCTCTCTACCCCCTATGTGTTTATATGTACCTTTCTCCCCCCCCCCTCTCTCTCTCTCTCTCTCTCTCTCTCTCTCTCCGTATTTTCACAATTTTCACTCTAATAGTAGATTTATGGATTCATAATGCAACCACAAAGCATTTCAAGCGATCCAATTAGTAAACTACATGTACGTTAAACCCTCCCCGTTTTCCAGTCAGTCAGTTAGCGAAGTTGGATGAACGCATGCGCACACTGTGATACGTCTTCAAGTTGCTTCCGACGTACACCAATATTTATCTGACAAAGCCCGCGAAGTGTTTTTTTTTTGCTCAGGGAGACGCTATATAAGAAGCGAATTTGTTTCGGAAGATTTTTCAGTCGAGGCACTGGTTGTATACGGTATTCTGCTGATTAAATAAGCAGTCTTACTCGGTAAAAATCCAACCACGTTTCTTATCAGTTTCTTTATTTCTAAAGAAACTCATCTCCGTCTAATTGTGTATACCAGGAAAAGTAAATGGCTACATGACGATCACAATTACACTTGTCCATTGATTTTGGAAGGATTGAAGAACTATATCACTGCGATTATTCACAGCGAGTAGGTTTTTTTTTAACAATCTACCTTTTCTTTTTTGAACTGTGTTTATTTTTTGTTATTTATTAAATTGGGAGAAAATGGTTTGAGGCCTGAACCTCTCCAAACAGCATAGCAACGACACAAGGAACATATTTCGCTTGACCTAAGGTGATTTTCTTGGCGACTACCGGCTCTACAGATTGCGCTGATATCAATTGCAGGGTGAGTATTCATCTTCTATTATTTTACAATGTTCAGATGATACCTACATCTATCTTTCCTTCTCCTTATCTCTCTGTTACTCTATTGTATTTTTCTGCCCCCCTCTAACTCTCTAGCCTTCTACTCCCTTCTACTTTTTCTTTCTAGATCCCTCCCTCTTCAGTTGTCTAAATCTAAGTTATCGATCTATATCTCTCCCGCTTTCGATCTGAATGTCTCTCTTTCTAATTCTCTCTCTCTCTCTCTCTCTCTCTAGTCACTTTCAAAATCCTTTTTGTCTTAATAATCATACTAAAAATAATGATAATCTTGATAATAATAACCTCTCTTTCCCTTTTTTTTCTCTCTCTTTTCCCTCTCTCTTCCCCTCTCTCTTCCTCTCCTCTCTTCCTCCCAATATATGAGTTGTTAAAAAAAAAAACGTTGTTCCGTCTACTACTCAAATTGATTCTATTTCTCAGTAGGCCTACGTCATTTACATATATGTTTTTCGTGTACTACTCTTATGATATATTTATTTATACAAGCAAAATATAGAATATTGTATTCCACCATATACAGTCAAACCTGTCTATAGCGACCACCCAAGGGAAACACAAAAAGTGGCCTTTGTAGACAGGTGGTCTTTGTAGACAGGTTCCTTTAGTACATGATTCAATGAGAAACCATTTTTAAGGGAAACAACAAATGTGGCCTTTGTAGACAGGTGGTCTTTGTAGACAGGTGGTCACTAAAGCAGGTTTGACTGTAAATGAGTAATTTGGCGAAGTAAATCTCGAAATTTTTTTTTACAATGGCAGTAAGATCCATGCAAAGACTGATGGGAGAGTTGCTTTTATTATTCATCTGTGTGCCTACACATCCGTTCTGGAAGAAGGCAAGAGATATCTTCGACACCTAGAATTGATTAAAGACGATCCAGAAAAGAAATTGATACTCTGGCTAAAAAGGAGAACAGGAAAACAAAATCTAAAAGAAATGTAACGTATATGAAATAATCTTTTCATAAAAAATGACTCAGTAAAAAAATATTTAAAAAGTCGTGCCAACGGAAACTTATTAAAGCAAACAAAACAATACAAAAACTCCCGTCGTATTCTATTTCATTTGCGCCAATACATGTTATAAAAGATTAAATTGGTTACAGATCTACAATTTCTTGGTTAGCCATGTAATGAAATCATATTTCTTTATTAACACAGCCTGCTTGGTATGTTTAACATTATGAATTACTTCAACAATAATCTAATGACCGGGGTAATAGTATATTTTTAAAGCGCTTAGGGACATTTTATTGAGCGCTATATAGAAGCTAAATATTATTATTATATTAACAAAACAAAAAAAGCGAATAGAAAGTTGTAAAATTCACAACAATATGACTGTAATTGTTTTACCGAAATATACACTGATACGCTATTTCTAAAGAATAAAAAACTGTACATCGCGATGTGTTTGGTTCGCATGTTAACTAACTCATTTAGTATTGGCTTTCTTTCTTACTCGAATTCTTAATTGAGTAATATTCTAACGTATCCGAGTTTATGAAATTTCAGTACGCATCCCAGGCTTTCGTATAATAATTTCCCTATATATATATATATATATATATATATATATATATATATATACAGAGAAGAAAGCGAATGAGGGAGACAAATGAAAAGTAAAAAGAAGGAAGGCGGGACAGAGGGGTAGTGAGAGAAAGGGAGGGAGAGGGAGAGAGAAAGAGAGAGAGAGAGAGGGGGGGGGGGAGGAAGTATAGACAGGAAAGGAAAGAGACGGAGAGTCAGAGGTGGAATGCACAAGGAATTTTTTTTTTTTTAATTAGGGTATAAAGCACGTGATTTAGATTGAAGGGGTGTCTTTTATTAAGTCTTGAGCAAATTCCACAGCCATAAAGTGGCATTAAATTTCGGTATTGGGTCATTGAGGCGGGTATCGTTCATCTCGATATCAGGTTACGGCTTGTGTACCTATTGTGCCATATTGTACGTATTATTGCAGTTCTACAACTTAAATCAGTGTGTGAACAGAAGCGGCAAATAGTGTATACATGGGGTCCTCTCCCGGCCCCCCCCCCCCCCACTCAGTGTTATTTAGGGTACGCATATGCTCGTTCCCTCTTTTTGAAATCACCCCCTATCTGAGGACTGCCAACATTTCCGAACCCCCCTTTCGCGGGCTTTTCGCGGGCTTTTCCTGCCTTGGAGACCCCCCTAAATCAGGAAAAATGCTCAATGTACCCCCAAAATTCGGAATAATTTCTCAGGAGTCCAAATAGATGAGAGAAAAAAAAGAAAAAACACCCCTTTTTAAAGAAATCTCCGGGTGAAAAGTCAAATACACCCTTTTTTTACAATTCTCGGGCCGGACTTTGTCGCACGAAAAGTACCCCTTTACCGGACATTTTGGCAACACGCATGCGGTCATTTCGAAACCTGAGTGGGGGGGGGGGGGGGGGCGGGGGTCCTCTATAACATAAGCACGCACACAAACTTACGCACACACACACACACACACGCACACACACATACGCACATGCGCACCCACATCCACTCACCTACACATACATAATCACCGACGAATTCTAAATTTTTCCCCGGGTGAAGTTCATTTAAAGCTTATCAGTAGTATAGTGTAAAGGGGCGATTAGACCAGCCTGCAAGGTCACTGGACAGGTGGTTATCTCAGCCTGCAAGGTCACTGGACAGGTGGTTATCTCATCAACTCAGCTCTCAAATAACATAAGAAAAAGAGGATCATGGGGACCAATGGTCACCGATTAGGCATTGTTTGTTATAAAGAGGGCGCAAGTAGCTACAAGTAGTGCAGTGGGCCTTTAAACGTAAATTAGATTAAAATGAAGAAAAAAAGGTTTGACATGAAAAGTGGAAAATTCAGAATTTTGAGGTAGGTGTATAGCTATCGCGACAATTGAATGTCATGTTTTGTGGAAGGACACACGGCTATGTATATAACAATTAATATGTAATAATGTTTTTTTTTAAAATCGTAATTGATATCTCTGTAATGGAACACAAATTCATAGATCTAGCACGATAAGTATAGATTTAGACTTTACCATCGACTGAATTGAACCAAACTCGCATTTTCAGGTTTTCTTTGAAATTGTGGAAACACACGAAAGGGTCAATAGTCCAGGTAGATCAAGACTAGTCGAACTAGACTAGTCTATACATCTCTTAAATGATCTTGAATTTAAAGCCATGGACATGAAGTAGATGCTGGATGTTGGTGACAGGATGTGATGTTAGAGACCAGGGAGGTGAAAGAAAGGAGGCGAAACTCTTGTAATGTATTCAAATGCATTCATGGGTTCTAAAGCGTAAGAATGGGATGTGTAACATTCGTCTTGGCTTTGAAGTTTCATGCTCCGAACCGCGCTTCCACTGCGGGGACTTTCGGAAGTCAAGCACCAGTTTTACATTACAAAATGTATTACAAAATATTAAATTATCGGCAAAATTTCAGTTTAAATAAAAAACTTTATATGGGGATTGTATTGGGAATAGTTCATCAAACAAATTTTCAAATTTAGTACTCCGTCGGCTTCCTACAATTTGTGACCCAGAGTTGATAGAAGAAAAATTACATCCTGACAAATACTCAATATTTTAGGATAATGCGCTAATTTGTGCATGTTTTAATGTTTTAAATAGGTGCCTATCCCACGCAAATACATAATAGATTATGTCCATTTAATCAAATATTACCCTACATAACACTGAGTGGGGGGGGGGGGGGTATGAGCCATAATCAATGTTGGATCAGCTTTACTCCTCCAGGCGCAGGCGAATCCAGAATATTGTAAAAAGAGGGCAGGCAATCTTTCTGAAATTTGAATGAAATCAGGATTTTTTCGGTGCCTATTTACTAAAAAATTTCTTGGACAAGCAAAAGCATCCTGAAAGTATGTCACTACAATTTCAAAGGAGGGCGTGTGCCAGTAGTGCCCCACCCCAATTCCGCCACTGGTTTATTGTAGAGGCATTGTTTTTAAATATTTTTTTTAGGGGAAAATTTTGGGTGATTCGGGGGCGGCTTTGAGTTGCATTCATTTTAGCTTGTACCTAGCGTTTTTCGGGGGAGGGAGATTTTATTCAATATGGGGCTTTAGCCCGCCCCCCCCCCAAAAAAAAAACAACACTCCTGCACCGTTCTCTTGTTCACTTTATGTATGAAATATATTACATATATATATATATATATATATATATTTGTACTTCTTTCTTCTCCTTCGACATAATCTATTGTGCAGTTGCGTGGGATAATTTACAGACGAGAGACCAACCAAAGATGACCAAGGTGCCTCATAACAATATGCAAGACTATTGCATGAAATAGATTTTGAAACTTCCATTAACTCTTATTACGCAGAGTTAGGTGGCAACATTTTGAGAACAGAACCAATAACCAAATAATTAACAATTTGACATCAGATGAATTATTCTTTCGATATAGTATATAAAAGACTTTCTTGGAAATGTCCCATCAATCATTGTATGTTTCTAAGTATGCACATTTCAACCCGTTTTCTCTTTCTTTCTTTTTTGATTCCTAAAAACAAACCTGAATCTAAAAGAAAATCGTTATTGCACAGGATGGCTTATGCCGAAAGGGTGGGTAGCGTCGCGTCGCGGCGCGTTGACTTGAACGCGACCATTCGTCCAAAGCCGTTTAAGCCTACCGAGCTCCGGCTCTGCACAGGCAGAGGTTGCAATGCCCGCGCGGGAAACTCGAAATAATGGAAGAACAGGCCTCGAAAACATCTTCGATCTCATGAGAGATTGATAGAAGGCCGAAATCAAATACAGATGTAGAATGAGGGCTGTACTTTGCCACTGAAGTGATTTAAATCATGTCTTCATTACAACGTTACAATATATAGGTTAAGGCCCGGTCCCACTGCACTTACGGATGCAAAGAGGATGTAAAGCGTAACAAAATCTTGCCATCCGTTGGAAAACGCTATGCAT